AACTTGCAATTAATGATTAAAATATGTTTAATAATCATCTGCTGACAGCCAAAAGTATATTGTTTAGTATCCTGTAAGTAATTTGAGTTTCCTGTGAGGCAGTGGAAATTGTGTCTCTTTAAGAACATGAAAAATTAAAGATTTAGCTGATTTTTGTGTTGCAATTTGTGTGCCTTTCTCGGGAGCTTAATTTTCCCACGAAAATCATGATTTTTAAATACAAATAAATTACAAAAATTAAATTTTATAAATTTACGTTTGGGAAATACTAATGTATAAATCCCACACTTTACAGTAGAATGTAAATATAATTATGTTTCGAAAGTCAATACAAATTTCCATGGAAAATTGGTAAAATTAAAATGAAAAAAGACGCTCAATAAATTCTTGAAAAATTCTTGAATATTTCCAATGAATTTAAAGTTTCATTAAAAGAATAACAAAAGTCCAGAAATGTCATAGATCTATGCCATGTTATGTTAATAAAATAAGAGGCGCCTCTTACTAATATAATTTACAAAGATTTAGGGGAAATTTTAATGTGGCATGTAAATGGCAACTGAGGCAACAAATATGTGAAATTATTGGCATTTTTGCTTGGCTCTAAAATTAATTCGGCATTTGCATAATTTGATGGACGCACAGCACATTTCGGTGGCGTAGTCTAGACTAGATATTTTTTATTACAATTTCGAAAATTGTTATTTTATGCAATTATTTTTCAGTTAATTAAATCGATTTTTGCATAAATATATTGAAGGCGTATTTATTTAAACGAATCGAATGGAAAACTTTGTAAAAATTACTGAGTGTTGGGGAGTGCTGGGTGAGGGGCTAAAAGTAAAAACAGAAATGACGATGATGTTGGAAAAAAAACTTGCCCCACCACAAACATTAAAAACTAATCAAACTTTTAAATACACTTCAACCGCAGCAGCAGCAGCAACAGCAACAGCAGCATCAGACTTAAGATTGAGATATAGCTAGGGGTCGGTGGGTGGGTGGTTGGTTGGGTATCTGTGTGTGGGGCGTAACACGCTGACACCCCGAACAATTCGACAGGCGTCTTAAGAAGCATCTCTCTTCTCGGCATCGACTTTGATTTGTTGCCTCCCCTCTGTCTCGCTCTCTCTCTCACTCTCACTCACTCACTCTGTGTGTGGCTCTCCTTTGGGTTGCGTCTGCCGTCTCTCTCTCTCGTTTTTTTGGCCTTAACTTTAGCCGGACTTTTGCCTTGTTGTCAACGTCAACAGAAATTGATTGCTCACCAAGAATCCCAGCCACAGTCAGTGCCAACCCCCTCCCCCCCATTCCCATCACCTAGCCACCTCTTCCCCGCTTCCTTGCTCTTACTTTTTATACCCTATTGGACACTGCCTCTGTGGCATTTTCATTTCATTCAGAGTTGAGTTGAGTTTACTTTGCGCAAAAAGTTTTTACCCAGCAAGCAGAGAGAGAGCGAAAGAGAGAGAGAGCGAGAGAGCTTCTGAGTCTCAGAGTCTCAGTCTCTTCGTCTCTCATTCTCCAGTGAATTATCCTTAGCCAGCGGACCACGGAAGCGCCTACTCCCCGGGACCAAAAACTTTGACACAGTTTAGGAGCCAAAAGTTTAATGGAATTTGTCTATGGCATCGCCACCCACCCTGCCAACCCCCCAACCCCCCCCCATCCAATCTACCACTCTGGCCACCAATATAAATAAAACAGCATTCAACTTGTTTTTAAAGCAATTAAAAATTCTTTAAGACTGCGCAAGACCTGCCTCTGCCACTGACTCTGCCCCTCCCCAGAGCACTTGTAAGTCGCACTTGTAGGCCACAAAATATGCGATCGCTGGATGGGGTGGGTTGGGGTGTGGTGGGAGGTTTAAGGCGACTCAACTCGACTCTGGAACTGCAATTTTCCTTTGGCGCTGAGAAAATGTAAACACAAGTGAAGTAATAACTAAAGTTTTTAATTTTAAAATGATTTATATTTATTCTTGGGTCTTAATTCTTTTACTTTGAGGGAATTGTGTGGCAAAAGCAAAAGCAAAGGGCTTTGATGGGACTAAACATTAAGGTAAGGGAATTATCTGAGAAAAAGATATGCAACAGAAGGGATGGAAAATAGATACATGGAAGATGGATAGCAGAATGATGGAAAGAAGATAAATATATAGAAAATATATAGATATAAAATAGATAGATAGAAGATGAAAAGAATATAAATATATAGAAAATATATAGACAGAAGATAGAATATATATAAAATAAAATAGTTATATTTTTCTGTTAAGAACTCTGGTGATCAAACAGGAATAAAAAATACTGAGGTAAAAGAGTTATCTTTTCCTACCTATTCCAAATAGGTCTAAGAAAAAGATATGCAACAGAAGAGATGAAAAATAGATACATGGAAAATAAATATATAGAAAATATGTAGATAAAAATAGATAGATAGAAAATAGAATACATAGGCTTTGATGTGACTAAAATTAAGGTAAGGGAATTATCTTGGCATTGGTCTGTGAAAAAGAAGAGATGAAAAATAGATACATGGAAGATAGATAGAAGATAGATGGAAAGAAGATAAATATATAGAAAATATGTAGATACAAAATAAATAGATAGAAGATAGATGTAAATGTATATGACTCCGCTTTCCGTATATTTTTCTGTGAAGAGCTTTGGTGATAAAAAAGGATTAAAAAAATACTAAGATCTATGAAACTGAAAACCGATTGCCATTGCGAGTATATTCGGCTGTGTGTTCAGGGGAGGGCAGGGGCTTTAGCAGCATAATCTTAACTACAAAATTACTTAAGTACCAAGGCAGCTTTTCGGTAGCATTTCTTATACATAGCAGCTCATACCCACAAAACGTTGCCTTTTCGAATGAGTTAAGTGACAAATTCTGCGCTTTACGTGTATTTTTGCACTCCGTCGAGTGCCCAAATAAGCCGAGCATAAAATGCCAGCGCACAGATACTACGCCCAGAAAGGGTGGGAGCACAAGTGCTTGGCGGTATAGTATATAATCGTAAATGGGTAGGAAGTATGTGTATGTTTTTGAGGTAAATTAAATTGAAAGCCTGGAAATGTGGGCATAATATTTGCGCCTTGTTAGTGTTTGTCAACGCTTGGCTGGCGCTGAATGATGCACAGAATGACGACGACGACGCTGACGATGTTGAACGATGGGGCGTTGAGTGAGTGGTTTAGGCAGCGCGCAGCTGAAGTAGTGGCCTGCGATTCGTAGCCAGGGTGAAAATTTTTCACATTTAATGACATTTAACAGGCGACGACGACGACGACGACGACCGTCACATAATTAAAAATACAAAATAATTATAAATAAAAAGGAAATTTATGCAAACAAAAAAAAATCACATAAAAATAAAATGCATTTTCTGTTCCAATTTTGGTTTGGCGCAAAAACCAATTGAAGGCCTCCCGCCACCCAATGCCCACAATCGTTCAGCCACTGCGCCACTTGGCACCACCCACCCAACTGCCAGAATCACGCTTAAGCTAACGATTTATGTGGGATTCTTTAAGCGAAATCCAAGTCAATTAGTTTCCTAATTCGTTTTACGAAAAGGAATTTATCGATTTTATCTGCAGACGTGCAGAAAGTAGTTAAGACCACAAGTTCAGTTTTACTCTGAAACCTATTTTCATCGCTCTCTCTCTAGACCCCCTAACCACCCCCTTAGCCTAGACTCTCTCTGTATTTCTGTACTATATCTATATATATATTTTTTTTTTTTATATATAAATTTCCTTCTCTCTGTGTGTTTGTTTGTGCTCCACGAAGTGTTGATAATGATGCTGGGCATTTTTTGCTTTCTCTTTCTCTCTGACTGCGTATCTGTGTGCGTGTGTGTGTGGCTGGTGTGCGTGTGTGCGTTTTATGCCTTCTCTAGTTCTCTGTTGGGGGGGAAAAGCAATAAACAAGCCGCATTGTTCATACGCCAGGCGTATGGCACTCCACTCACACACAAAAACCACAAAAAATAGTCAAACAATCGAGTTTTTTTTGTTAAATTAAATTAGATTTCCAATTGGTTTTGCCAGTCTATTTAAATGCTTAAATGAACAGCCCAAACAAAAAGAAAGTTTCTACGGAATTCAAGCAATTAAGCTGGAGAAAAAAAAAGTCTCTCCACTACGCCCATTGCAGTAAGTATTGCTGCAATTCTCTCAGGTGATATACTCTGCCTCTACCGCTTTGACCATGCCTTGGGCAGCTGAGTCGGTCGACAGAATTCAACAAAAAAATACATAGTCTGGCAGCCCCGCCATTTGCTTAAGCATTTTTCTGGTAACAGCCATCAAAGGTGATCGGTCATGTAGGTCATGCTTCGTGGCATATTTTTGTTTGGTCGTATTTAATTTAAACCAGTGCACTATGGGAAATTTTACCACACCCATTTTTCAAAAGTAGTTAAAAGAATATACATATTTGTATCCCTCTCAATGTGAGGCTTACATATCCAAATAACATTGATCTTTAGTGTTACTCAAAAAAACAGTTAACAGTGCGCGCCACTGTAAAGTTAAAAGCTGTTAAAGTCAGCTATTTGCTATCAATAGGCGAGTATTATAAGCTCGTATCAAAAAACTAAACCAAAAAAAAAATATTTTTTCGTTTGGAAGTTAATAATTATTGCCAAAAAAAGTGGTAAAATTTCCCATAGTGCAGTGCTCGGCACGCACACATTCGCATGCTTTGCAGTGCGTTTGCTGGCAAAACGAAACATTGCAATGTTCTAACTTTAACAGCTGATAGACTTAACATTGTTCTGTTATATAACATTTTTCGTATAGGACTTTGCAGTTTGAGGTTTTAATTTAATTTTAATAATTTTAATAAATACCCGAAAAATGGAAAATTCCCCATAGTGAATTGGGTCCAACCACTGTATACACGTGTACGTGAGGGGTAGTGCCTAGCCCTGCTTAAAGCCCTTTTCAAAGACTGCGTTGAACGAGACGTCTATAGTTTATAGTACACACACAATAATAGAAATTAATTATTCCTTATACTACTCTTATTTACTACTCATTTATTACATACAAAAAAAAAAAAAACACCCAAAATAGAAGACAGCTCGTGCAAAATGAACGATCAGAACTCGCAGCGAAAGATGCGCGAACAGACGTTACTGCGTAGCCAAATAAACGAGGGCCAAATTAATCCCGAGTACTCGGATCAATTGGTCATGAATAATCGCACGCCCACGTCTATGATGAGCCGCAAGGCCACCACCCTGGTGCTGCCAGACTTTTCACGCTTCACACTGGCCAATCTGGCATCACTGCCATCGCACAGTGGCCCCGATACAGAGAAGTCGAATGCCTTGGATCAGCTTAAATCACCGATTGGCAAGTACACGGATCGCGTGGTCGATGATATTCTGGTGCAGATATTTGAGGAGCGACGCGGTGACTTTTCCGTCACATCCTCCAGCTGTGACATGGCCGTTGTCAAGTGGATCAAGTCCAAGAAGGAGCTGCATGTCGACACGCGTCTCAAGTACTGGCGCGAGATGATGCAGCGGCGCCGCAAGCTGCAGCTGCGCGTGCAGAAGGTAACGGGCAAAAATGCCGCCGAAGTGCTGTTCAATCGACGCGCCACCTGGAGAATCGCAACGAGCAGACGGTGAAGCGTCTGCTGGAGTATGCGGAGCGCATGCGTTGCGAGCGGCTGATGGCCAAGCCGACGGCCAGGCTGCCTGAGTTACAGGATCCCTGTACGTGTCAGCTCATCCCGGAGCTGCAGGAGACGCTGCCCAAAGCGGAACGCGATGGCTACACGGACGTGGAGATCATTGGCATGCCAAGTGTGACCCAACGGGAGCTCCTGGGCAGAGAGGCAATGGGCCAGCAGCTGGCCACGGGCTGGCTAAAGTCCAGCCACTTGGATAAGCGTCTGGAGCATCGTTTCTGTGACATACACAATGTACTGGACTTTTTTCCCGATCTCGATGACCTGCAGGTGACGGGCATCAATATGGAGCGGATCAAGATTGGGCCCAAGGCCCAATTTGTGGCTGCCCCATCCCTGAGGACCATCACAAACAGCTCATCGTTGCCCTGCATGGAGGAGTGCGAATGCGAGTCGTTTACGGAGGATCAAACGGCGCCTGAAGTGTCGCCGACGCCGCCGCCGCTGGGGCTGCGGATCAACGGCAAGGACTACGTGCCCGCAGGCACTGGCGATGGCCTCAACGAGTGCTACGAGACACTGATCAAGTTCTCGTGCGATCCGTTCGAGCTCAGTGCCAAGCACATACTGCAGCTGACGAACATTGGCCAGCAGACGCTGTCCTTTACGTGGAAGCAGGGCGTCTACTACTACAATCGCGGCTCCCTGCTGCTGGCCAAGGACAATGAGTTCCAGTTCGACATTGAGAACTTCCGTTTGACGCATGGCGAGACCCGCAATCTGATCGTTATATATCAGCCACGCAAGGTGGCCATAGCCGTGGAATTGTGGTACTTGACCGTGGAGCCACGCATCTTTTGCAGCGGCAAGGAGTCGCTGATGATACGGCTGCATGGCTGCTGTACGCCCTCGCAGGAATACCGCGCCAAGCTGCGGGAGCTGCACTGCACGACCATTTGCAAGGGCAACACCGAAGAGATGAATCAGCTGACCACCAGACTGGGCACCATATCGCCCTTGGTTGTGCCGCCGCCCGCCTGCTGTCCCTACGATCGCACCTTGGACGATCGGGAGCTGTTCAATGGCTTGAATCCGGGCCATCATTGCTTTCGTTTCGATGATCTGGAGGTGCTCAAGGGTCTGCACGAGCAACTGAAGAAGCCCCGGGAGCGGCCATGGGATCTGCGACTGGACACCATCAAGGGGTACATCATGCGCATCGAGGCATTGGAGCAGCGCGAGCAGCTCTTCGGCATGTACACAGAGATACTGGGGAATATGCTGGAGCCGTCGTGCAGCCTGGACGACATCCAGCAGCTGGACACACAGAGGCAACGCACGCGCTTCATCTATGTGCGCGGTGTCATCTGCAATGGCCTCGATGAGTGGGAGGATCTCATGTGCACCGTGGAGGAGTCGTTCTATAAGCCAGAGCTGCAGCGTTACTACATCAGTCTCATGCAGCAGCAGCAGCAGCAGCAGCAGCAGGAGGATGACGAGGAGGATGAGGCTGATGGGGGTGGTGGTGAGGGTGATCAGGCTCAGCGTAAATTGACATTCACCCCAGCAGATCTGGAGAAACTGCGCGAATTCTTTGCCGAAGAGGATGTGGACCAGGAAAAGATTAAATCGATTGTCATGACGAAACTGTATCATTCGAAATACTTTCGGGATGCGCTCTTCATACAGACCTACTCCCATTTGTGCAACATAGCCGAGAATATTGTCTCCGTCATCGAGAGCACAGATATTGTGCCAATATAGAAGAAACGCCCCACACCTTTTGCCTTAATTAGTATCTGTTTTTGCTTTGTTTTTTTTTTTTGTTTCTCGTTGATTTCTTAATTGAAAATCTTTTTGCATTGCCAATGAGAGAGAGAAAAAAAATTAAACGCAAAAAGTTGCGCACATATTTTATAAATTCATATTGCAATTGCCATTTCTTTTGGCTGCGGCGCTGAACGAAATTGCAACAAACATGCAAATATATAATTTTAATAAAGTCCTGGAGCAGCAGCAGCGACTCTCTCTCTCTGTGTCGCACTGCAAGCTGCTCATCAAAAATACCGGTAGAAAAAAAAAACGAGTAATAGAAAGTGTATTTTGGGTTAGCGATGCTTTTAATACCCTTTAGAACAGAGCACAGATCGATTGGTTCGATGCAAGCTGAAGGGTTAAAGGTTCGACGCTCGAGGTTGAGGTTCCCCTTCAGCTTGCAGCATCAAACATGTTCGAGTTCGCTCAATTCAAGATTGGGATATATGGAATATACTTTTTTCCTTCTTCTTTGCATTGCAAACCTTTGCTCAAAATCGTAGGACTCATTTTTCTAGGGCATCGGAATAAGCGGAAACTTGCCGCACGGCAAGTCATTTGACAAGGTAAAAGTTGTCGTTGCTGTTGCAGGTTGCTTTTTTTTTCATTTTAGTTGTTTTTGTTGTTGTTCATTTGCTGACAGATGAGCGGTGCAGAGAAGCGGCTGGGAGGGGCGTGGGTGTTGACGTGGGCGCGTGGCTGCAACGGCACTTGATATGCTCTAAAGAGCGGTGGGTTGGGGGGATATGAAATATGAAATTTATGTTCCAACAAAATATTTTCATGTAAATTCCGTGTTTGTGCTACTTTTTTTCTTTTTTGTATCCCCGTGTCGCCAATGAGCGCAATTTATATGCAATTTGTATGCCAAAGGGATAGATAGAGAGCAAGAGATATAACTAGGGAAGAGAAATATACGAGAGAGAGAGAGGGGGGGGGGACAAATTGAACGGATAGCCGATAAGCTTTGATCAGGACAAACCCACACAAATATTCGGAGAGAGAGCGAAGACAAGGAGCATAAATTGCCAATTTCAAATGAGAGAGCAATTAGGAAGAGAGCACAGAACAAGCAAGGCTTGGAATGTGCGAGAGCAGGAGAGCGTGGCACCATTTTATTCCAAAGCGTTGAAACAACCGTTGCAACGGTTATTTCTATTCCATGCTGTTTCATTTCGTGCTGTCATGTGATTTCTTTTACTGTGTTTGTTTTTGCTTGAGAAAGTATATTGCAAAAAAGGCGAAACAGTAACGAAACATACAACATTAAATGTTTGTCACTTACCTTTGAATTCATTTTGCCGGATCTACTTTCCCCCGCAGCTGCGCGACACTTTTTTTCATTTGATTTTCGCAGCTAACTTGAGACGCGTGCTCTTCTGCTGATGGTCAGTGTGAAAAGAACGTGTGAGAGCGGAGCAGAGGCCATGCGTGGGAGTATTAGTACTCCACTCAATTGTGCGCTCACGCAACGCGTTCTCTCACTCCAACTGCAAAATGTGAGCGCAGGCTTGTGTGCGTGTGTGTGTGTGTGTGTGTTGGGCGAGGGAGAGTAAGATCTGGGATAAGTAGATGTCTCTCTCTCTCTCACGTTCAATTTGGGTTTATGAAATTGAGCAAAATATGCCTGAGTCGCGAGTATCGCGAGAGCGCATTATTGAGTGGAATTAATTGTTTTATTTAAATTTTAAATTATAGAAATTAGAAGTAAACCAGTTGGAGGTTTTTTTTATGGTAAGAACAAACATATAAGTTTAGGGGATAATAAAATCAAATCATAGACCCCTAATTATTACAGCCTCAGCCGCACTAAAACTTTTAACTAATAAAACTAATAAAAAACTTTGTTCAACTATTTTTTTTTGTATTCCATTTCCACTTCAACACGTTACTCTTTTATATAATATTATTTTTTGTATTACTTTTAGCAGCAGATCAAAGTTCTGGCTGAGTGGGTTGCATGTTCCGAGTCTTTACAAATATTCCTGCTCAAGTTCAAAAAATTTATTGTTTCAATAGGGCCAATGCGACATATGCAACATTCCAGAGAGAGTTTCAACTACCCAAAAAAACAGAAAACAAAATAAAAATGAAAATGAAATAAAACCGATATAATAGAAATTGAATTTCTATAAAAGTTTCGACAGCATGCAAAAGACAAAGTTTGTCCGGGGTCTGGGGGTGGTGAGATCACATACGCTGCCACGCCCACGCCCACTCCCACCTTTCGACAGCCAGCTGACTGAAGAGTTTTTGGCAAAAGAGTTAAGTAGCCAATCACCATGTCCACCCATCTCACACGAAAAGTATCTGAGAGATGCTGCTCCTCTCCTGTCGCTGCTTTCTCGCTCCATCTGCTTTATTTTTATATGCTCCACACAGAGAAAGGAAAGGAAGGAGGGTGGGTGGTGGGGTGTGGTGGCGCTGTCAACACTTGGACTTCCGTTTGGGGCTCGCTGCTGCTGCTGCTGCTGCTGTCAGCAAAATGTCACCAGCATGCACATGGAATCGGTTTTTTCTCTCACTCTCTCTCGCTCTCTCCGTCTTTCGTCCTGTATTTGATTGGGTTTGGGGCTACGGAGATTGGCCTTCGCCAGAGCCAGAGCTTCTGACTTCAGGACTGCCTCGATGCCATGCCTGCCTCGGTGCCATGCCTGCCTGCCTCTGCCTGCCATTCCTGGTCAGGCAGCAGCACCAGCACCAGCAGCAGCATTATTTGCTTTTATTTTTGCAAGTCAATAGCTTTGGCTTTTAAATTTATCGACTGACGTTTGATGCGCTTCATTTAACTTGGAAACATTTTTCAACTCAAATTCCCTTCCTCAGCTGCAGATTTGGGCTGGCTGGCAGGGGAATGGGGGGGTTAGAAAATACATGGCTAACATTTCGCTCTCTCTTTCTCGTTCTCTGTAAAAGTTTTGTACGCTGCATGGCAGATGTTAAGTGTCATTAAATTCTGTCGCACAATTGTTGCAGCTGAGAGCGGAAAGTTAAAAGTACAGTAGGGCGCAGCATAAAGAGCAATGATTAATGGAAATTAAACTAAAAAGTCTCTCGAGGGCACTAAAACTGTTTGCGAGCGTAATTTTCGCACCTTTACTGCTAAGCTGCACCGTGAGAGAGTAGTTTTGTCACAATGCACTTAAAATTAATCATTATGTTCTGAGTGAGTCAATAATACCTGAACATTTTCAAATCATGGTGGAAATGCATAGATTATCATTTAAGATGAATATTGGTATATTTCTCGCTGTCTTAGTGTTTTTAAGTGAATGATTTTTTGTAATAATAAAAAACAAATAATAATTTTTTGCAGTCCCTGGTTTTGTGGCTATATTTTGAGACTGCACTGTATTTACAGCTACTTAAGTATTAATACATCAACAGTGAACAGCTCCAGCAGCGGTTCTTCCCCCCCCAGCAAGTGTGTCCAGTCCAGTCCAGCGCCACAAGGCAACAAATTCGAGAGACAACTGCTACGAGTACTGGTACAAGAGCCCCTGTGCCTGTCTCGGCCATAAAGCAACAATACGAGTATTTCCCATACACAAAAAAAATAAAAAGAAAATAGGAAGAAAAAAAACTCAATGGGGGGACTGCTTGAACCCAAGCCAAAGAGAGCGAGGGAGTGGGAGAGGCAAGAGTGAGGGGAGTAGCCTGCAGGACACAGCTGCTGTCATCCATTTGGTTATCTGGCAATGCACTTCACAAAAATGCTCCAGCAATAGATGGCGGGGTGGGGTGCGGGGAGAGTGGCCTGAAGCCCGGCAGCTAAATGCAGTCAACTGCAAAAACATACACTGCTTCACGGTTATTTTGCTCTTTAGTTAGTTGCCATATTTTGCAATCCCTTACCCGCTCTCTCTCTCTCACTCACTCTCTCTGTCTCGCTGCATCCACTGCTTAGGGGGGGGCGTGACCGACGCCCACTTAACAAATATCAACTAAAATGGCTTTATATATGGTTGAGATAATAAAAATCCAGCAGGGTTCTCTTCACAACACACAACAGGATGCAGGAAACAGTATGGTATTTCCCTGCGCCCCACTCCTCACCACACCCACTCCACTCCACTCCACTCTCTGTGTGTGTGGGTCTGATGGGAACGCTTTGATAGCCATGGGATAAACGATAAGTAGAATGGAAAATAACTAGAAATAAAATTAAAATAAAACTACAAATGTGTACAGACGAGTGAATGTGTGTCCTAAAGCAAACGTTTGAAGGTTGAATGAACATTAAGACTTTAGCGGGGGGTACTATAATTTCTTTTTGTAAGAAATAAGACCTCACTTTGTACGGTAAAAAGCGCTCACACGCAGGGCCGGCGTTAGAGGTTATGACGCCCGGGGCAAACATGAGAAGAGGCGCCCTTTGATTATTTATTTTCTTTTTCTGAAATGAACAAATTAAAGGAATTTGGGAATTTGGCGCCCCTAAAATTTGGCGCTTGTCCTGCCCTAAAACCGGCCCTGCTCACACGCACAAGCAAAAGGATTTGGAGAGAGAGCGAAATTCGAATAAGCGCACACAATTTGGGTGTTGTAAATGAGTCAAAGGTGAGTCATAACAGGCAACGCCGTCTCAGCGTCGTTCGAGTTCGTACCGAACGAGAGAGTGACAGCCAGCCACGTCAACCTTTGAGTGCTCTGCCTGCACGCGAGCAGCGCTGCCTGCCTGCATGCCTGCGTAGTTGGATTTGGTGTCTCGCTTGCGCATAGCTTTGCTCTCTCTGCTCTCTGCCTAAATGCTCGCTCGCACATTTCATGCTCTCTGGCTGGATTCTCCTGCTAAGTGCTCTCTTATTGCAAGTTGGCATTCGTTGCTGCGCGTCTTCATCCGCCACCCTTTTAGCTAATGAAAAAAAGGAGAAAAAACATTGGTTTTTGCTTTTACAATTTTAATTATAATTAATTAATAAATTAATTATAAATTAAAACGATTGTAACATCGCCTAGGCCTTAGTTTGGGCATCCCTGTTATGCAGCTGCTCCTTCTACGAGTCCTCTACGAAGAAGTAGAACAGGAAGGGCAGGAAGACCATGCCAATGAGCAGCACCACAGTGAATACATTAGCTGTCACTGTGGAGTGAAAAGAAACTAAATTAAATATCAAAACTATAAAAGGCGTTGGATCCCTTACAAATCACTTTCAGGTATGGGGTTAGGCCGCGGACTGCTTTGCCTTGTCGTACTGTTTGCGTATGGAAATAATGCTTGAGATGATTGCTGATGAAAGTCCTGACAGCTGCAGGCAGATTTTGACACTTTTTGTTTGGTTTGTTCCTCTTTGGGTTGAGCTTGCGTCGGTACCAGCTGGAGTAAATCGGCAGACGAACGTAGTCCTTTCCACGGACAACTTCGGGAACAGCAGCCATTATTAAGAAGTTTTTTAACCTAACAAAATATATATTTTTGATTATTTTTGGGAGGTCAATTTGGGAAACCCGAATGTTAGTTTTAGAGTGTTTTTTTTTTGACATTTAAGTGCAGGTATTCCAGGGCCTACTGTGCTGCGTACTCAAAAAAGAGTTAAGGTGTATATTGTATTTGTGTTATATAATCTGTAATCTGTATAATCTACATGTTAGATGTAGAATACACATAGTAGATGTAGATAACAGATGTAGCAAAAAAATGTAAAATGTAAATTTTTTTTTTCAATTCTAAAATTCTAAAAAATCATAAGCTCAATAATTTATATACTGACTGAGGACGGTAATAAGTAGAGTCGCGTCCCCAGAAGCGACTCACACGTTCCTTCTCGTTTTTTTTTTCATTTTACATTCATGAAAAAACATAAAGCAAAAACTTAATTTAATTAACTGCAATGCAACTGTGCACTGACACGACCCTTGACGACCCCTAACCCTCACTCGTTGCCCCCCAGTAACTATGCCTTATGTTACTTACAATTAGCAGCATCGATTGTTTAATGACAGTTGATTGTAATAAGCCAATTTTCCAGCAAATAGACAGAGAGAGCGGCAGAGAGAGAGTTTTGCATTTGAATTCCAAATGCGAAATAAGTTCATTAGCAGAGGGAAGCTCCCTCCGGGCTAACTATGGGGCGGGACAAAGGACTCATTCCACTCACAGTTATCGAATGGCTGTTTGTGCCCAGTCCGACCCAGTCCCTAGTCCCTTTTTATGCCCATTTTAATTTGAGTTTATGCTACTTTTATGCATATTAATACTTTTATTTTGTTCCAGCAGGCAGGCTTTTCGGCTAAGTGGTTTTTGTATGGAAATGTTTTCAGGTAATTGCCAATTGAGTTTGCTGGCATTTCAATTGGACAGCACCAGACAGCACTAGCACTGAAAATGTGGTGTGGATTTCAAGCAGAGATTTTTAGAAGTTAGTTTATAGAAATTATGCAAAAGTTTATTCTGTATAGAGAATGGAAAATGCATTTATTTCAACACTTCGAACATTATTTAATTTCTATTCATTTGGATAACGCAAACGGGCAGGCTCCGTTTTTTACATTCCCAAAAAAGTGTGCGATTTAATTTTGAATTCGGAAAGCTAGGCGCTCCCGTATTCGCAAAACTCAAAAATGAAAATTAAACGTCGGCTTTTTATTAATTTTATTCAATCATTTTCATATTCATTTTTATTCAATCTTAATTGCAAAAGAAAAAAAATAGATGACTTATTGATGCATTAAGTTTATAACCATAATATACATGAATCTATTTTTAAAATTAATAAATTTAAAGGTAATCAATGTAAAATCAATGTATTAATAAATAAAAAATAGAAAAAAAAGGAATAAAAAAAATAAGAAAAACTCTAAAAGAGTTTTAGAAAAGAAGAATAAACTCCTGAAGAATTAAGGAAAAATAATAAACTCCTGAAAATATTTTTCCAAAGTTGGCTTAATAAATACAAATATAAAGTTGAAGCAGCTCTAAAAAAAGATAGATTAATTTTAATATTATTTCATAATGTAATGTAATTTAATCTAAATAAATAAATAAAAATTGCAAAAGGAAAAAATAGATGACTGATTGATGCATTGACATGAATTTGACACCATTGCCAGTGCTATTTAGCTTGTGCCTTTTTATAAATAATTTTTTTTAACTAACCTCAAAACTGGATCAGAAAAATTCTTGAAAATTAGTGAATTCGTCCAAGCAGCTGGGCAGCCGATTTGGCTATCGATAAATATCTGAAGCAGGCCTTGTTTTATGAGCTGTCACTAACACGTGGGTATACCAGCAGTAAATAATAATAATAATAATCACAATAATTAACAGCACAGGAGTAAATATTTCACACTTTTGCGAATCGCAGAGGGCCTTAAAATTAACGCTAAAGCCGGAGCCTGCCTGAATAAGTTTTCAGGTATTTTGTGCGCTTTTCCAGTGACTGCCGTATCACTCTATTCTGCATCCAATTAAATGTTTAGCGCTTATCTGAGGCGCTACTTATTGAATAGCTCCCCCCTCCCAGCTGGCGCTCATTAGTGGACTTCAAAATGGACAACCGATCAAACGAGAGCTGATTAGGTCAGAGGCACAAAAGCCGTTGACAAAAGATAAACCTTTGACTTGGACCCAGGCCCCCCCCCCACCATGCACTGGGCCCCTGCCAGGCTCTGCTTCTAGGGCTTGAAATGGGGGCTCAGACGACAGCAGGCTAAATGGGCGTGGCTTTGGCTTGTAATAACTCACGCCTTTTGACACAGATTAAACCGGCATAAAGACAATGGCGAGTACGGGAGGGTGCAACAGAGAGGGAGAGAGAGAGACTGCAACGATGATGACAGCGAGGACAAAAGCAAACTTGGCCAAAAGGATTTTATGACCCCACTGCCAGAGAGCGTGTGTGTGTGTGTGTGTGTGTGTGTGTGTGTGTGGGTGGGCTGTGTAAATGTTATCCTTTATTGTTTGCCCAGCCTTCCTCTCTCTCTGTACGGCGGACTGCACATGTCACCAGGCCCAGACTCTACCTCCGCATTCGCAGCCGCATCCGCATCCGCATCTACATCTACATCTGCCCCATCCTTAGCTGCACATCTTACTCTCCCTCTCTCTACCCTGTGCCACATGCCAGGCACTGCTCATCTTCATTGTGGCTGACAGCTTCGCCTCCATTGTCCTGGCACTGAGATACTGCAGAACAAAAAAAAAAAAACATTTTAGGCCCAGCATCAGACATTATCCATACTTATTATCCATATAGTAATAGGGGTGAGGGGGGCGGCCAATATGTAAGCCCATGCGATCAGATATATATTTCAGTCTGTTTGTGGAATCTCCCTCCTCTAAAGGAAACATCCATGTGGGTGCTCTGCCACATTTGCTTGCGCTTTTGCATAACATAAATTTGACTCGAAAATGCATCGACTAAAGGGAAAATTCTATGCATTTTATATGATGCTACTCAGCCAAAGGGCATTCATAGAATGCATTCACCACCCCCATATATGTATGTTTCCCCCCCATACATATTACATACAATATATGCAGATACGAGTCTTATTTTACGGCATACACGCACATGGGGCACGCGAGACTGACTGGCAACCAACTGCATTTTCTATGCAGAGAGAGAGAGAAAGCTGGGAAGCTCTGACCAAAAGGCAGCTACTGGGTCCTGGGCGTCCTGGGTCCCTCATTTGCGTGGCTGTGCGGCAAAGAATTCAGCATGCAAATAAGGTTAAGGTGTATGTCAGTCGTGGGACGTGGGACGTGGGTGATTCCCGCCCCGCTGCATAAAATATTCAATGTCTCGTACACGGCAGATGACAAATTTGTTTTCCACATTTGCACATGTTTTTTTTTCCCCTTTGTGGGTGGCGCGCAAGAGCATTAGATTAAACATGGGCATTCCAATTATGTGAAATATAAGGCAAAAGTTATTACTTAATATGTGCAAAAAATATCAAACTATTTACTTAAATTATTTTGTAGAATTTGCATACCGACAAAGTCGACTAGTGGAATATACTTTAAAAAGGATGAAGGGATTTCCATATTGAAATTTTTAAATGTAATTAAAAATAAACATTAAAAAGGCATACAAAAATAAAATAAAATAATTAAAATAAAATATGCATACTTGAACATGCATAAAAAAATATAATAATAAATAATTAAAAAAAAATATACATGCTTGAAAAATTAAATGATATAATTAAAGTAAAATATATGCTCGTAATAATAATATGATAATAATATGATATATAATATAATATAATAATAATAAAAAACTTAAATTTAATAATTTAAAAAATATATAATACAAATATAATATTTTAATAAATTGGTTATAAAACTTCAAGGTTTTTTTTATTTATATATTTATTTATTTATTACATTTACATATGTATAAAGCTATTTACATACACCCAAACAGCTTTTAAAGTTTATTAATTAAATAAAAAATTAAATATTATTATGCCACACAGCTAATTCCATAGACCAATGTGTACTACGATAATATTTAATATTATTAATATTATTCTATTGTATTATTATAATATTATGTTATTATTATATTATGTTATTATTATATTATATTATTTATATTATTATTATTATTATTATACATATTAATATTATTATTTTTTTATTTATTATACTATATTATATTAATATTTACTGCTCAGTTTTGCAAGTCCATCAAAATAAATATAGAATAAATTGAGAATAAATTAAAGTTAAAAATTAAATTAAAAATTATTCAAATACCTTTAATGGTTTCTTCTTTCTAAGGATCTTTGTTTTTCCTTTAATATTTCAAAGCTTTTTCTAATAAATGCTATAAATAGCCAAATGTATCTATAAGATACTCTATCTATACTCACTTTTTCTACGTGTAGAGTGGCATTGAAAAAATGCCGAACCACAGGCCGCCGCCGCCTCGGCTCGCCTTGGATCCGTTTCCGTGGTTTGAGATACAAGATACGAGACGAAACGGAAGCGCTGCAGGAAGCGTTGGAAGCGGAGGGGCATCGAGGGGAAACTAGGGGGGCGGACAAGCGCTGCTGCAATTTCTGTTTTGAAATTGGCTTATTTAGGTATTTTTTATGCGCTCGACATTCAACGACAACGACGACGACGACGATGCAGGCTGAAGGCTGCTGGCTGGCCTTTGTTTTGTAATTGTTTTGAAAGTAGGGAGACGGGTGGGGCATGGAATGGAATGGAATGGTGGTGGTGCGACGGATACAGTAGGCGGCAAAAGTTAACGTCATTGTCGTTGTTGCCGAACTCTCGCTCTCCGATGTCGGCAAAAAAAAAAAGGCAAAAAAAAAAGAAGAAGGACGACATTAGCGGCAACTGTTTTGAGTGCTGCTTCCTGTCGGTCCGTTCTTTATCGTTCCCGGATCCTGGTACTCTGGCACTGGCATCTCCCCATTCCGAACCTGGCAACCTGGCGGCTGCTCTTTCAAGTGGCATTCGAGTGGGGCAGGCAGGGCAGGGCAGGGCAGGGCAAGGCAAGTCAAGGCAGGCAGCCAGGGCGCAGCCAGGGCGC